TTGTAGGACACATGGAGACAGCTCCTTGGAAATAACCACACAGTGATTGAAAATGGCAGGCCACAGAGCAGTTCTCAGCCGGACTGGTTCTAAAAACAGAGCAGTCTGGTGAAAAGACGCCCAGATTCAAATAAAAGGCTATAAGCCTGTGTCACCTGAACCATCTGGATTGTTGACCTGACGAGATCCCTGTGTCTCATCACGGAACTGGGGAGCCTCTGGCTCCGGCAGAGCTCGTCCTGGCTGTGGCTGCCTTGCCGAGCGGAGAAAGCCTGTGCCAGAAATGCTAATAAGGGGATGGCAGCTGGTTCCCCCGGAGCCCTGCTTTTCCTTCAGTGCCCTTGGGTCTCCAACTCTGGCTGCAAAGCATTTCCCCAAAGAAAACTCTCAGAATAAAGCCATTCAATTCACAGTTGTCCCCAAGTCAGCGACATGTCTGTTTCCAGAGGAGAAACGAAAAGCAGAATGTACATTCCTGCTCTGACCCCCCTTGGAACAGCACTGCGGTCTCTGAAGCTTCCACTTGCACAGCAGATCTGGCTGTACCAGACACAGGGCTGGCACTCATGGGGCCGAGTCAGTTGATCTTCAGGGGGTCACCTTGTGGGGATGTATGTTAACTTCATTTTATTGATGAAGAAGCAGAATCTCAGAGTCCACGGGACCACACCAGGGTGGACGCTGAGCCCACGTGCCTCTCACTTGGAGCCACCCACGGAAGCGTGGAGCGAGGAGGCAAAGCCTGACCCCTCGACCCCACCTGTGTAAATTCTACCTGGCCATGCTCAACGGCAGTCGTTAAAAACTTTCAGCAGGACTAGGTGCTTAGATTTCCTGTTGTGTGTAATCAGGGACCACTGTGTGTTTTTTAAATTTGGGAAGACATGACAGAAAAGGATTTGGAAATGACGTGTTGAAAAGGAGACTGACGGACATTCTTCTGACAGATGCAGGGAGTGAGGAAACCAGAGTAGGCAGTAATCAGGGTGTGAACCTCGATGTGAGGGCAGAGCCTGGGAAGAAGCTGGATGTGAAGGACCAACCTGGAGGCGAGGCAGGACCTGGTGACCGGTGGTCCAAGGAGGCAGGATACCAAGACAAAGCAGAGCAGTCTAAAATGACTGCAGATTTCTGGTGTACGCCTGGACAGCTGTGAGAAGGCAGCCGTCATGACTGTGATAACAACATGACATGACACGAGGGCGGGTGGAGAAAGGGGGCCCCCTTCGGGAGAAACTCTTTTGGCCAGAAATTGGTGGTCACCTCAGGCACACCACTCTGTTCTTCCTGCTATGGATGGAAAACTACAATGAGCAGGGAGCAACATGTAGAAGATTTGGGCAAGCGATCAAGGCAAAAGATGCCTTCGCTGTTGCATCACCGCCTCCGGTCATTGCTTCTGGGCAATATGAGCCCCAACTTGAAGGAACACACAATCAACAAGGCCTGTGGTCACTCCTTCTGAGGGTGTGAGACTGGCCCACGGAGCCTGACTGCACATATTAAAAAATAATAATTGAGTTACTATAACAATGAAATATTGTAAGATTTTATCACGAGGGTGAAACTAGAATTTCACTAGTTGTTTCTTTTGTCGGTGTCAAAATTTGCATTTTCACACTTTTCATATTACAGCAATTATTACTATAGTCAAAAAGCCAGGTGTCCACTAGGGAATAATTATGCCAGAGAATAGGAAATGATTCTGGCTTTATTTCCTCTTGTATTTTATCATGCATGTAACTCTTGGGAGAATGCAGAAAATATTTGTTTTGAATGTTCCTCATTTGGTGGTACTTTCAAACTCTGATTTAGTCAGAACTTTAAAAAAAAATCATATAAATCAATAGCAATCACCTAATTCTAAATTGAATCATAACCCCAAAAGAAATCTGCTATTTAAACATTATAGACTCCAAGGATCAGCAATATATTTCCACCTCATAAAAGGAAATAATAAAAGGAAAAAATAAAGAAAAAAATGGTAAATGAAAATAGAATAAAAACCATTTATTTTATTATTTTAATTTAACTCCCAGGTAGAAAGAATGACCTTCTGCCGTACCTCAACATTTAAAATACGGCCAATGTTCAAAGTTTACAAAATTACTTTTAATTTTAAGAAGGTATAATTTACCACTTAGAATAATGTGCTTATTACTACTGAGAGACTGGGAAAGAGTCCTATTTTTGATTCATAACAAAGACTTCTGTAACCTTCCGGATAATGGTCTAGATTCTGCATTTTTATTACAGCAAGAGGACCTTTGATGTGTTCATGAAGGACAGCCATATTAGGACATTTTGTGCTTCCAATCTCTTCCTATTTGTTAATCTGGCAGTTTTTCAATCATACGTTTTTGAAAATTCAAATTATTTCACGGTAAAAAATATAAATTCATATAGCATATTATATAGTTTTAATCCATTCAGACTCTAAAAATATGATTCATTACAGCATTTTAACTTATTTGATTTACATTTATTTGATTTATATGTGTTCCCTGAGTTAATATTCTAATCATTTGCAAACTCAATTAAGCTTTATCTTGATAAATTTTTACTTTTTGACAAATTATATTACATTTGTACAGAATAATACATTCTTAGTATATTGACCACTCCTTTGATATATTAGCAGAATGTAAATGGCCACTTTTTCAATTTCACTTTCGTCCATTTCCCAAAGCACTGAGATATTGCTAGTCCAACAGGTACATCGCAGAGTGAGATCTTCTCAAGTTTGCACCAGAACATTTTAAAAATGTCATTTTTCTAAAGTGCTCAACTTTTAGTTATTTTGAATATGACTTGGCAAGCTATTTGTTTATTATAAGACATTGCTACTTAACCAAGTTTGAATACACTTTCACTCAATTATGACAATATTTTATGTGTTTTACAGAGCTGGTTTTATAATATCTTTTTAATGATATTTAAAGTGTGTCTTCATACTGCTGATGAAGACAATTGTATTAAACGGTTTGTTATTTGAGATGAATATACAGGAAATGTTCTATATGTCACAGAAATCTTGAAGAAATGCCTTGAAAGGAATGGCACTAGTGCTAGATTAATTTATACACAAATTCCCCTTTTTCATATTGGCTCACGCAGAATGAAGAAACAGTCATGAGATTTCATATTATCCTTAATGCCTACTTCCTTGACTCTAAACAGATAAAAAATTCTAAGTTGTGTTCCTGCCTGCACCATTTTGAGCTGATATTATATTCTGACCCTAAATTGTGTCTATTTCTCAATTAGTTAGAACCCGAAAGAAGAAAATGGGTGTTTAGTAAGGAAGGACTCTTCCAGCAAACTTCCAATGTAGATTGATGCACACAGTCAACTATCAAGACTAATATTCATTGCTAATGCAAGCTTTTACCTTTTTTGTTCTTTTTGGCATTTGGGAAGTCATATTAGGTACTACTAGCTAGAGCCCATCTTTATCCTCAAATTAAGCCACCCATGTTCTTTATGATAAATGAAGCTATTTGTGGGATAAGGGAAGATACTGGCATGACAAGGGCAACGAGTGTGTGCTGGGGAGGATGGAGAAGTAGGGGTGAGGGATGAGGATGAGTTTTGTTGGGGCTTGGCAGCTGGGCAGAGAGGTTTCAGCTGATATATTATGAAAGCACAGCCAAGCGTCTTTTGGGCAGATGGTAGCAGAATTGGGTTGAAGGAGTTTTGTCTGGTATCAGTGTGCAGGATTAGAGAGAAGAAAAGCTAGAGTCAGGGAGTAAAGTATTAAGGAAAAGGAAATCTCTTGTTGGGAATTTCATTGTGCATAACTCAAAGGCAAGGGCCAGCAACCATATCCCATAAAATCGTGTTCCTTCTACATCTGATAGTATCAAATCTCCTGACTGTCTACCCATTCTGTATGTGCCAATGCAAAAAAAAATGGGCACTTGTGTCATTTCTAGGAGCAGAGACGCCATAAGCTTCTAAAGGGCTGACACTAGGCCTTTCATCTCAAATCTGTAGTCTTTGGACTATAGTAAGTCCTAGAAAATGTTTATTAAGTGAATGAATGAAAATGAGAGTGAATAAAAATGGGAGCAAAATATGGTAGAGGACATAGTTTTTCTTGAACCACAAGTCAAATGATAACAGACACCTTTAGGTTCCTGGTCCTATATAATTTCCTCTGAGAACTGGGCAGCTGGAACAATAGACTATTCTATTTCCTTTCAGAAGTGCTATATTGAACGAATACCTGCCTTGAACCAGAAGATGCATGAAGGAATTTGTGCCCTTAGCTCTCTCAGTACCCGAGTGGGAGCGGACGGAGTTGTGGATTAGGGGTAATCCGTGCATTCCTTCAGCTGGCAAACATGAGGCCCAGGTAGAAATTTCCTCATGCAATGGGAAATGCACCAGTATGGAGACCTACGAAAAATATCCTTCCATAACTGTGAAAATTATTTATTCTCAAAGAGAGCAGAAGAGTTTAGAAAATATCTCAATAAGATACATGATGACAAGTTTACACGTCCAGAAACGTCAGGAGATCAAGAATCAAAGAAACAGGTTGGCCTTACCAATACAGCACCCCATCCTGAGGAATTGTGGCCAAAGCCACAGACCAGGGCAAAGTGCAGAATATGCCCAGCATTCCGGGGCCGTGATCGAGGAGCCTTGAAGGACTGGGTCAGGCAAAGCCAAAACTGGATGGCAGGATACAGAGGGACAACTATCACAAAGTTGTAGAGACCCTGGAGGAGCCATGGAGTGAAAGCTCAGGGAAATGAGCCAAAAGGTCCTGCATCCAGAGGCTTATTACTGAACGTGAACCAAACCTTTCCTTGAATTTAAAGGGCTGGGTTAGATGGCTTTTACGCACCACTCTCCAGCTCGCTGCTCACTATTTTTAAGCATCTCATTAAACTCATGTCTCTTTTACATTTCTAAGAGGAGGCAACAGAACAAAGAACAAAGCAGTTGAATTCTGCTTCATCCTGAGCAACAGGAGTGGGAAAAGTACTCACGCTCCACAAAGTAAGAGCTGGCATCAATCTTCCAGATGATCTGGCCCCGATGAGAACCATTGACTCCACGGTTCTTATAGTCCAGAAAGTTTTCTGACAAGACCTCATCTATAATTCCAAGAAAAGAAGGCAGAGAACATATCAGCCAACAGCATATTTATTAAAAAAAAATTAAAAGAGCAAAAGATATTAATGCCGTTTCCAGCTCAACTGAAGAAAAGGCACCTGGAATCATAGCATCACAGAGCTAGAAGCATCCTCAGGTATCATCTGGACCAATCCCCAATTTTCTTTGGTGAGGAAGATTGGCCCTGAGCTAACATCTGTTGCCAATCTTCCTCTTTTTGCTTGAGGAAGACTGTCACTGAGCTAACATCTGTGCCAGTCTTCCTCTATTTTATGTGGGACGCCACCACAGCATGGCTTGACGAGTGGTTCTGAGTCCACACCTGGGATCTGAACCTGTGGACCCCTGGCTGCTGAAGCAGAAGCACATGAACTTAACCACTACACCAGTGGACCAGCCCCGAGCCCAACTCCTTTTTAACACTGGAATCTCCTCCCCACTCTGCAACACTCCTGGCCCGGGATCATCTAACTGGTTCTTGAACACCTCCAGAAACAGGGAAGTAATTGCTTTTATGGCAGTTCATTTCACTTTTGAACAGCTCTTTCATGTGTGAAATTTCAGTGTAAAAATTTTCCTCCTAAATCTTTCATTAACTGGTCCCTTTTTGGGTCTGAGGATGAGGCATAGAGAAAACATCCAATTGCACGTTTCACTTGGGGCCCACTTCTCATGGGCCACACCCTCTATTAATTCTTCTCCAGCCTGGACACCCATCATCATCCAACACATGGGACTCATCCACGAATCTGTCCATCCATTTTTCATGTGCTTGTGCGTTTACTTGTTCATTCAACAGATACTTATTAAGATCCAACCACCTGCTATAATGAGAAAGGTGCAGGGGCCATGGTGTTGGGCAAAACCGATGCGGTCCTTTGTGAACTCACTGTGTGAAAGCTTACAAACAATTGAAGAGATAGCCTTTAAACACTAAGTAAAGAAATAAATGTGATAAGGGATATGAAGGAAAGAACAGGGTGCTCTGACAGGGAGTTAACAAGGAGGAAGGCCAACAGCAGGTCAGGAGAGAGCTGAGGGATGAGAGGAAGCCACAAGGGTGGAGATGGAGGCAGGATGTGTGGAGAGCGGAGTAAGGCTCGGCTGTGGTGTCCAAGGCCCGAGGTGGGGGAGAGCCTGCTACATGGAGGCACTGAGAGGAGCTGGAAGTTGACGGTGCATTCTTCTCTCCTGCCCTTTCTCTGCTCATCACATTGCAACCCATCAATGTCCTTCTTTCAGCCGGTGTCTGCAGAGGAATGCAGCATTCTTGGAGAGAACAGATTCTGGAAGACCAAGTTGACCGTCACCTCCTTAGTTCCATACCCCACGTTTTCAGTGCAGACTAGGACAGGGATATGAATTTACCTTGACCTTGTATGGGGCCCTTGCAGATGGGTACCAGAAAGTAACCACCTGAGCCAGATGGATCTGAGGCTGTGGGAAACCATGTTTTGAGAGTGCAAATCCACCACAGTGACTGGAGAAACCACCACAACTCAGGGGCTCCTGAGGGCAGGCCTAGTTCTGCAGAGAGGGACTAAGTCTTTTTGTAACTACAATACCCTGAGGTTCACATCCTGTATCTGGCTGGACCGGGAAAACCAACAGAGATGAGGGGCAGAGGGCAGGGCCGGTAGCTAAAGGACCCAGCTCAGAGGCCTTTGTGCCATTTACCACAAAGTGGGGGCAGTACTAACTCGGACCCACGGGGGAGGATTCAATAAGATGACTGGTAGACATGCCTGTGCCCTGCCATGGTGACAGCACATTTTCGCCTGCCTCCACTTTGGCAAAGATGATTGAGCAAGGCAATACTGTCTCTGCCTCATTAATGGCAGGAAGTGTTGGCATCTCTTGGAAAATCACTTATTTGCAAAATTTGCCTGTCTTTATATTCACAGTGTGTGCTTACAGCCCTGTTTGGGTTACTAAGATGATTGCATAATATGTCTTTTATAGTAATTGCCTCATTTCTGACAAAAAAAAAAAAAAGCATAATATTTTCCTGGCTCCCTGGGTCTTCAGTACAGATATAACAAATCTCATTTCCAGACAGAAATTTGCCTTGTTATGGCTATTCTCCAAGGAGTGGAATTTACCTGAATTGATCCTCTCTTATTGCCAGAATATTCACTTTAAAAGTCATGGTCACGTATCCACATACGATAACACCAAGAAGGGGAAAGTTCATTCACACATTAGGTAAATGTGTATTGAGTATTTACTCCACTCCAGGCATTGTGCTAAACCCTGGGGAGACACTGGTGAACAAGACATGGTCATGTTCTCAGGAAGTTTCCAATAGATTTGGGGATTTATTCGAATAACAGGCAATTTCATTAGAATACAGTACATATAAGAATGGGTTAAATATTAAAGAACCCCAGGGGTACAAATGAGAAAAGGATGGGGGTGAATGAGTGGGAAGAATCAGAAAAGATTGACGAGAATAGTGAAATAACATTTTAAAGAGAGCAAGATACATTTCGCTGTAACATTTAAACACAACACATTTTAAGAGATTGCCAATTCGTCCTGATAAGCATCTCATTCCTTTACACTAATAATAACACTTCACAACAAATATCACACAAGAAAATAGAATAGTCTGAATTCTTGCCCAGACCATCTCTGCTGAGAGGTCAAATCTTTCCCCAAAGGCATTTACCGCCAATGGTTAGAAAAGTCACTAGTCTTTGCTTGGGAATCCAAGTGTATTGTCAGGGTCAGATGCAGAGAAACAGAATCAGTCTGGATATTTTATGCAGAAAGGGATTGAATGCAGGGAATTAAGTATCGGAGAAATGGACTCTAGGCCAGGCCTCTGGGAACAGCCCCCAGAATAACACTGGCTCTCCCAGGCGCTGCCTCTCCCTCACTCAGAGAGGCCACATGGGACCTGCTGAGTACAAGAACCCCATACAGCTGATCCGGGGAGCAGGAGGCTGCTGCACAGGCCACAGCAACTGCCTCTCCACCCACAAAGATAGTGGCCAGCCAGTGGCAGGCTGAATAGGTTACTGCCATCACCACTGCTGGCTGACACCCACCAAGTGAGTGAGTGGACACTAGGCCAGTATGGTAGAAAAGCTTAATTTATCAAAGCCATGTTTGCAGCAGCCCCAGACTAAAGGAGGATCCCCATCACTTCCACCTTCCTAGTCTTGCACAGGTGCATCTAAAGGAAGGGACCAAATTTGAATTCCAGGATGTGGTTGCATGGGAGTCTGGGAAATGTAATTTTTAGTGGACCAGATTCTGCACTAGAGGAAGGTGCTGGAGAAGAAAAGAGGACTGGAATGGATGATGGGGGCCCAGCCACGCTCTCCACCACACTAGAATGGCAGCCTCTGGGCTCTCTACCCAGAGGTTCTTTTTCGGCACTCTCTGTCATGGCGGAAGTCTCTTTGTAGGAGCAATGTTTGTGTGATTAGAGGGATATTTACAGCCCCTGTGAGGTAGGAGGGTTACGTCCACCATTACTGGCTATGAGATCTTAGGCAGCTTATTTAATCTCTCTGTGTCTTTGCTCCTCACTACAAAGTAGGGGTAATATTAGTACCAACCCCCAATTCTGTTGTGAGGATTAAATGAGCTAATACAGGCAGTGGTCTGAGAACAGTGTCAGACATCCAATAAGTGGCTATTTCTGTTTACAGTCAGGGCTAAAAATAGGGTCCTCTATGGCAATGCTCCATGACACTTAATGTGTAAGACCATTAGTAATAACCTGAGACATTAGCTTAGGCCGGTACTATTTAAAATTTTGCCACTGCTCATTTTGTATAGAACGTGTAGAGTGTATTAAGTTTCTCAAAAAAGGATTATATTTGCTGGGTGATATTTATTTTTTCTAGTGTGTACCTCCTGCCCCACAGTTAATAATAGAGAAAAGATCTTTGCAGATTATCAAAAAATTGAGGGGCCAGCCCGGTGGTATAGTGATTAAGTTCATGCACTTGTCTTCAGCAGCCTGGGTTCACTGGTTCGAATTCTGGGTGCAGACTGACACACCGCTCATCAAGCCATGCTGTGGCGGGGTCCCACAAACAAAACAGAGGAAGACTGGCACAGACGTTAGCTCAGCGACAATCTTCCTTAGCAAACAAACAAACAAACAAAATTGAATCTGAAAGTTCTAGTGAAGCTTACAGAAACAAGCACACCTAAGAAACGAGGAACGTATTTCTCTTGCTTTGTCCTTAAAATAAAATCTGTAGCTATAGTTTCCACATCCTAACCTATAATAGAAGAGTATACAACAACAAGACTGTTGTTGTCGAGAGCAGAATGGGCAAGTGAGCCCAGAATCAGTTAAAAAGGAGACCTGATCCACTACCTCGATCTCCTAAGCCCAACAGAGAAAATACAACGTGGCTGCCATTTCTCAGAGGAACTCATGCCCATTGATAACCAAATCTCGGCAAAATCCCCAAGGATTCTCCTACTACGGCTAGACTGTGGCTTTATTAAACAGTAGCCCAGGAGATCCAGGGAGAATCTACTCGCCATTCATACTACTAAGCCAAAGATGGAGAAACTCCGCTCTCTTGTGCTACGAAGGGAATCTAAGGATAAAGGGCAGGGGAAGCCCTAAAAATTAATGGCACTCTCTTCTCTTCCGTGGCTTTTCCCTCAGATTGTTTCTTTGAACATAAGTATTCTAACTGGTTGCGCCTTAATGAGCAAGTTCAGCTCCAGCTCTTCTGTATTCTAATAGGGTGGCTGATGAAAAGGAAAAACTTCAGTTCTTCACGAATTGATGTCTGTAAGGAAGCATTCTGGGAGTTCCCATGTGCAGGTGTCCAGGCAGAGAGACAATTTTAGCTCTCGTCCTAAAACATTAAATTTTAAGGCTCTGTACATTAAGCGCTTCTTAAGGGCAAGGGTTGGGTTTCTGTACTTACTCTATGATTTCCCATAACTCCTAGTGTATGGTTTCCCAAGCTGGAACACCTGATGGACAAATATTGGGAAA